GCCTTTATTATAAGCGATTCTCCAACATCGCATCTGAGAACATTATATATGATAGCGACATCTTCAATGGACATCGATTGCGAACTATTAGCTTTAGTTTTTAATAAGTACGAAAACCGATGTAATAAGATGTAAATAAAACATTTTTGTTCGCCTTATTTCATGTGTATTGTCTTTTACTTCTCATCCTTTGCCTCGACGCGCCAGACAAAACCATAAAAATTGAAAAACTGTATCATATAAAAGAAACTCGTACTCTATTAATTCTTCCATCCTTTCTTCACTCGTAGTACGCGCGCTCTATCTTTCTCTAACATGCAAGCCTTTATTATCGATACATTTTTAAAGAAAAGAAAAATATGTCATGGTCAAATTCAAACCTTTATTATCAATGCATTTTTAAAGAAAAACATGGTCTAATTTTGATAACAAAAAAAGGAGCCCTATTGTGTAGGAGATTAGACCTTTCACCCTCTTTCCCCCGCGTTAGGTATTCCCCGCGCCTACAAGTACTTCCCTGCACCCCGCATTCCCCTCTAGCCCCATGTCTTAGAACCCGCCTTATATACCTACTAGCGTCTTTGGCCCGACCGGTTTTACACTAACTTGGGTTAAATTGTTGATGTTTCGTGCTCTTCTGTTGGTAGAACATGTAATATCAATCAAGCATTTTCCAATCTAGGGTTAGTGCAAACCCGATCGGGCTAAAAATGCTATTAACAGAAAAACCTGAGGGAGGACATAAGGGACTCTTTTCTGTAACCGCAAAATGCTGCCGCGCATTATTGCTCTCTGAAAAAGTGGATGTAACTACTATGTAATACGATGTAATAAAAACATCTATTTTCCTGTGCTGAGGATATGCACATTTACTTTTCAAGACTGTTAATAAATTGATATTTTGTTCGGATATTGTTGTGTATTCACATTACGATCTTAAAAGACACTCTGTTTAATAAAGTTGAGATATTTAAATTCTAATCTCTTTAATAAAGCGTATTTTAAAAACAAGCCTAATATGATTATGATATATTTACCGAATATTTTGTGTCCAAATACCAGGGAAAAATAAAAATATTATTAAGAAATTAATATGATTATCGAACATATTAAGCTAATTAACAATCACAAAATTGTATAGGCTCTAATGATATAGATCAATAATGAGTGAAAAGCCTCTAAAAGCCGACGCAAGTTATTGTTGTGAATAATAATTTATTATTTGATATACATAAATGTTATTATAAACGTTTTGATCCATCATGACTTGCGTACTTAAAACGGAGCTAAATACATCTATCCATAATCATCATTAAATCAAGAAATTTAATAAACATGCTAAGCAAAAAACCTCTATGGATGCGATTTATAACTGACGAAAAAGTAAATCCACGTATTTCAATCAAACAAATAATATTGTTTCATGTAATGTAAAAATCTCATCTTTTTTATTATAATATAATTAATACAACATATTACTGAAGAAGACCCTAAACGTGGGTTGAAACGTTTATATTAATATTTGTATCAGATAATAAATTATTATTCGCAACAGTAACTTACATCGACTCTCAGAGACTTTTTACTCATTATTGATTGAAATTAATTAATTAATATATAATCAATTTAGATGCGATATGATGTTAAGCGGTGCTAAAGAATCAACAAGTTTCTTGAAGTCATACTATGATGTATCAATTATTTATTTTTGATAGAACACTTTAATTTACTTACACATTTGAAAAATATTAATATTTCTTTTTTGAAAATGTAATCGTGCATTAATATTTGACAAAATAATCTTATAATAAATATTTTATTTTTAAGTTTATATACTTCAAAATTTAAATTTTTAGATGTAAATCCATAAAAAAATATTCAGGTATAACAATGGACAGACCCATATATTCAAAACAATTCGCTAGATGGGAATCGTACTGGTCCTGTAGGCGCTCCACGATCATTCATTACTCCTCATCCCGAACGAGCGTCAAGTCATAGAAACTCGATAGACTCTCGCGAAAAATTTGCGATTTTGCAATACATTAAGAAACTTTTTATCGCCGTTATGATCAGCGGCCATAGCGATATCAGGATGACCGTGAAGTGCCGGGCATATGACTCGCACGAAAAAGAACGTGTTTATTAGAAGAAATATCGAAGTTTCTATGGCGGCTTGTGGCGTTTGCGTGTGATCCCAGGTCACCGAAATTCATGCAGTCACCGCCGATTGAATCCTACAGGGGTTGGTGGACCATTCCGTATTTCTCCTGCAAGACCCGCCGTTGGCTCATTTCATATAGCGTCAACGTGAAGCCGTTGGATGTCCGACCCGGGTTGGTATACAGCTTCTGCTTGTAAAAAAATTTGTTTGATTTATGTATAGTATATAAACGTTCTAACCGACTCCATCGTTTTTTTTTGTTTTCTTTCATTGAAGAGTACGGGAATTCATCAGCATCGATATTGATATAAGTGGATTAGAAGTAAATCAGTGCGACACCTTGACGCAAAATCACAATGACGAATTCGAAGCCGCCTCGAGCAATCAAATAGCCTTTTTTAAAGGCACCCACAAGTGTCACATGGATACTACGCAAGTAAATATTGTACAAACTTTTATATAGAAGTCTGTGAAACGTTTCGCGATAAACTATCATTTTCACAGAAATAATAAAAAGCGAGAGCACTAATTTTTTGTTTAGTGCGTGTATCAGGGGCCTGGCAGCCGAGTAAACCAAAATGGGATAGGTGCCGGTTGGACGAAAGGCGCGTATGTGTGTAAGTGTAGGCAAGGCTTTTACAGCATCAGACATCATCTGACAGGTTTCGAAGGAATTCTTGTGGAAGGTCAGAATCATTGTTGTTATTCGTTGTTATTCGTCAGTTGTTGTGTATCTAATCTTTCACTCGTATTTATTATAGCTGCATGGAAGGAAATGAGGGAAAACAAGAGTGATTCCTATGAGAAGGTATTTCTATGTCTGCGTTGCGCACCGGGATGTGCGAGATGTAAAGGCCCTGAGCCTTGCTTGGCGACGTATAACTGGCCGTTTAGGTACTTTTAAGATGTCCGTACTTTTTTTATTAATCTTATTGTTCCATGTTGCTATTTTTAAATTGTGTATTGTTTTTTAAGAATTTCACTACTAGCCGTTTCAATTTTCTGCGCGTTCGGTACCATCGTCCTGGTGGCGTACATGTATCAACACCGTAAACTAAAGGTATTCAAGGTAGCTTCCCCGATATTTCTATCTATTACGCTTCTGGGTTGCGCCTTGATGTATCTCGAGGTAAATGGGAAGAACGCTCTAATCTCTCTTTTTTTTTAAGTTTGTACTAATATATTAATCAAGAATTCTATTGTAGATGGCTGCTATATTCCCAGTTCTCGATATGTATTCATGCATTGCCACAAAGTGGACGAGGCATATGGGATTCTGCATCTCGTATACGGCGTTGCTGATGAAAACTTGGCGGTAAGCAGCTACGATAAACGCTCTCGTGTTGTTGAAAATATGTATAGATCAGGTCTCGCAATTGGGTTCGAGAAAAACGAAATAAAAGCTATTGTATTGCGTTCAAGAAAATTTCTTCATGCAATGAAGAGATTCTCGATCTCAAAATATAATAACTGCGCTCTTTTTTTAAGAGAAATAATGACATATTGCACTTCAATAAATTTTTCGCGATTAGACTTGGACCATTTTCAGCATTTCGATTTTCGTGATTGCCACCTGCAATAATGGAAAAATATCGAATAAAATAACACAAACAAAAAGCGAAGTCTATACCGATCAAAGCTAAATCTTAAGTGCTTTAAATAATTACACATGAATTTATATATCACGTTTTCACTTAAATTGCACACCGAATTGATTTTTCGGACTTATTATAGAAACGTAACCGAACTACTACAGTAATATCACAAATTAAATTGATAAGCAACTTAATAAATTGTTGTTCAATTGCCATCGTTTTAAACAGATTTTAATGTAATGAAAATTTGTAAATAAATTTATTTACAGAAATTTATTTACAATAAATAAATTTATTTACAGAAAAATATTATCTCCGGGGAGTCGAATTTGAATCTTTAACATTTTGTGCGAGCATCCTAAGTCTTTAGATTACCGAGACTATAGTAATATTCTTCGTAATACTATAATTGATGTAGGAACGTACGCATTTTTTAGACAGCATGTATAAATAGTAATAAACGATTTATTAGGTTATATAAATTCACATGTAATTATTTAAAACATTTAAGATCTAGATTCGACCGGTATAGGTTTCGTTTTTTGTTTGATTGTGTATTCACATTGTACGGTCCTAGTAAATCATTTATTATCGAATAAATGTCTCTTGTCAGGGTTTCGCTTACGTATCGGGTAAAAAGCGCCCACAAAGTTAAGCTGACGGACAAACAGTTGCTGCAATGGATGGTACCCATTTTGCTGGTAATGCTGATCTATCTCGGAACTTGGACTGTCAGCGCGCCGCCTTATGCAGAGGTAATCGCAGATAACCACGACTTAAAGTTTTACCAGTGTTCGTACAACTGGTGGGATCACAGCTTGGCTATCGGTAAATATACGAAAACGATCGCAATTTTTAACGAGTTGATAGAATCATTTGAGTGAATAATTGATAATTCTGTTTTAAGGTGAAATTCTTTTTCTTGCTTGGGGCATAAAGGTATGTTACAACGTGCGAAACGCGGAGAGTCTGTTTAACGAAGCCCGTTTGATAAGTTACGCCATTTACAATATAGCCGCGGTGAATATAACCATGATAGCCATTCAGTACGTAGTCAACGCAATGCATATTATTACATACAAAATACGTCTTGCGACAAAACATTATATATCATGTAGAACAACGTTGTCCGCAGTCTCTTAATATTTCCTCGTGCCGGGCCGGACATCAAATACCTGTTAGGCTTTCTGCGGACTCAACTTTCGACGTCCGTTACGGTCTTCCTCGTATTCGGCCCTAAAGTAAGACAATTACGACAAGTAAAGTTCGTCGAACTAGACAATTGGACTTTATCATTATGGACACTGAAAATACTAATTTTTTAATTTTTTAACAACTGTGCGGAAAATAATTTTGTTCCCATAAAGGAGGATGCTAAATTAGGACTGTTTTTCGGCTAAAAACTTCTGAGATGTATTATAGACATATTATTTGTCATATTAAAAGAGTATTTAAACAGAATCAAATGATATATCGTTCAGGAAAACATCGGGAACATAGGAGAAATCGTGATAAAAAGTTAATAAAAAATTAATAAAGCTAATGTTATCACATTGATCAATAAAAAATTATTAAACATTAAAATGTCTTGGAAATTAAGCAAAAAATGTTTTTGTTGCTTAAACACATATAATTTAGAAGAGAATTTTCAAGCGATTAACAAACGACAAAGAGTCTGATACAAATAATCGTTTGGTTTCGAATTCCAGTTTTGAACCAAACATGCTTATCAAGTTATTATTGTGATTAAATAATAATAATAATACAATTTTTGTTACTTAATTGCGGATTAAATTGATATCTTATTTAACAATTTTTAATTTTTTTGTTTTTGATAACGATTGCCACGTTTTCGATGTTTCCCCAAGCTAAGCGATATATTATTCGATTCTGCTTAAATAGCCCTTTAATATAATATTATAATTTGTCTATCTCAGAATTTTCTCATCTTGGCTTTAACTTAACATTCTTCTTTGACACAAATTGGTCTTTTTAATATTCATTTTTTTTGTTTTCCTTTTTGTCCTTTTTGATTAAGTAGCAATAATTAATTGATTTATTTCCAATCGGCGTGGATGTTAGGTAATCAGAGTATTGCGAGGCCAGGGGGATCAGTGGGACAGTCGAGCAAGGGCACGTGGCGTCACTGCAAGCTTTTCCTTGAACGGAATCGGTTTAGTACCGGAGGAGACAACAGATTTATATCAAGAAAATGAAGAGCTTAAGGTATTTGTATGTTTGTATCCTTCTTATATATACATTGCTTTATGAGATGCAAAACGGTATCGGTAACGTAATCAAATTCGATTTTGAAATTTCATTTTTTTACCCTATCTTGACTTTTGCGTATGTGATAGGAGGAGATTCAGAAATTAGCCGCACGAATAGAATTCATGAAAATAGTGCACATGGAGATGCATAACCGACATATTAAGCCAAAGTTAGGAGGTTATTTCAGCGCACACGGTCATGGTCATGGGCATCCATCTACCGGGCAGAGTCCCATCGCCAAGAGCTCGACAGCCAGCTTTATTCTCAAAGTATGTATCTAAATCATTTCATTCCCTTTGTTGTTTGAGCAACTCCAGGGCACACGGAATTTTCTAACTTGACATAAATAAAAAAATTTCAGTGTCCTTCCAGAGAGAGAAATTTATTTTATTATTCATTGATTAATTTATATCACACAAGTATTTTGAAAATTGCTAAAATAAATCTCTATTTTCTATGAAAAGAGTCATGAGAAAAAATTTTTAGAAAAAAACAGAAAGCTTTCTCCCGTTTTGTGCGTTGTATTGTGTTTTAAATGTTCATAGCAAAAGAAAATGAAGGATTCATTAATTAAAAAGACAAATAAATTTAGGGCAATTAAGAATCGGCACTGTAATTGGTGCGCTTAGATAATTAACAGACCTTAGTGTCTTGAAATGTATTTTATATTAATGTATGTATGTACATTTCAAGACACTAAGTTCTATTAGTTATTTAAGAGCATTAATTATAACGCCAATTCCTAATTGGCCTAATTTATTTTTCTTTTTAATTAATTTTGATACAAGAAATCTTACTTCGATTTATATAAAAGATTTATTAATCATCAAGATAATTATCTTGCAGAGAAATAATCTTCTGTCAATGCTATCCAGTAGAATTAATTAAAATGAATTTAATTCTTCAGAAAAATACATTGTGTGCGTTAAAGTGAATCTTCAATCCGAAAATGCATTTCTAATCATTTGTATAATTATATAATACAATTATCAGGCAGTTCTAAAATGCATTATCGTAAATTAAAAAATATAACTATAATTATTTTAATATACTAATAATATAATTATTTTAAATATAACTATAATTATTTTAATATACAATAAGCAGGGACCCGGACCAAAAGGATTTTTCGGTTCGGTTCCGGTTTAATAAAATATCAAATAAATATTCCGGTTTCAATTTCGGTTTTTTTTTACCAGTAAAAAAACCGAAACCGTAAAAATTATGGTTTTTTAATAGTTTTTATCGATTCTACTTACTTGCTTTCTTTTATTTATTCTTTAAATTTATTTTATTAAAAAGAGATAGGGGAAGAGGAGAAAGAAAGAGAGAGAGAGAGAGAGAGAGAGAGAGAGCCCGATCAATCTAGAGAGTCTAGAGAGTCGTAGACAGGCGTCAACTGATCATGTAACTCTGAACAAAAATTATGTAAACATTATTTTAAGCACATTTCTCTCAGTTCTTTCTTACAACTTATTTTATTCTTATAAATAGATCTCACTTATTACATAAAGTCTACATATATATTCTTGAATTTCATGACTTAGAATAAATTCTTGCAACATATTGGTAAGGAAAATCGAAATAAAAAAATGCTAGTATCTTAAAAAAAGTTTACATTAAATATATCTCGCCAGATTTCTTATATTATATAAGATATTGGAGACATTTGCATTCCGGTTATTATCAGAGTTAGCGACGGTGATACTGAAATGAACATTGATAATTTAGACGAAGGAAGGGCAGAACAAAAATGAAGAACAAGAATAAAGATAAAAAATTAAGAACCAAAATGACAACCGAAGAAAGAACGTTAAATTTTATCAATTCGGTTACGATTTCGATATTGTAAACTTTACAAAATTTGAATTGGTTTCAGTTTCGGTTCAATAAAAAAAAAAGGGTTTTGAAACGGTTTTCAGTTCCGATTTCAGTTCCAGTCTCTGATAATAAGTATTATAAGAAGCAATGCCTATTTTGAGTGCTTTAAATAATTTCGTGTGAATTTATATACCACGTTTGTATCCAAGTAGCACACAGCGTTTACAAAGCGTTAATAAAATGCTAAAAAAAAAACGCATATAATCGCTTTTTTACCTCTCAAGCTATTGTGCTTAGGTAGTCTCTCGAATTGCTCATCAAATTGATTTTTCAGACTTAGAGATCCGGGTTTCTCGACCAAGATAATATTTTTTGCTATAAATTTATTTATAAATTTTCAGTACATTAAGATCTTTTTAAAATGATGCAATTTGAGCATCAAATTATTAATTGCTAAGCAATTTAATTTGTGATACTATGGTAATTCAGTTACGTCTCTATAAAGTTCGCAAAATTAATTCGGTAATTTGAGAGACTATAAACGTGATATACAAATTCACACGAAATTATTTAAAGCACTTAAGATCCAGCTTAGACCGATATAGGCATTGCTTCTTATTTATTGTGTATTTACATTACGGTCTTAATAAATTGTTTATTATTGTGTAATCATTTAATATTTCTCAAATCAAAGTTCTGAATAAAAAATGCAGTTTTTCAATTAAAAGAATTTTTAATTAAGAATTATATAGGTTAAATAATTACAATTATATTTTTCAATTTGCAATAACGCATTTTAGAATTGCCTGATGATTGTATATAATTTTATAAATGAATAAAAATACTTTCGAATTGAAAAAGTTTCACTTTAATGTGTGCGAATGCGATTTTCTAAAGAACTGAATCCGTTTTCTATCCATTCTCGTTTATTGAGTAAGCAACTTGTATACATATAAGCTTGTCAATATCCTTTTTACTAGGGAATGGGAAGTTACTTTTTGAAAGTAATAAGTTACAGTTACTCGTTACCGAGTAGAAAAACTAACAAGTTAATGTTACTAATTACCGATTTTTTGAAATAACTCTTTACAGTTACCGTTACTTGAAAAGTAACTTTTGTTACTCCCTTATAAAAAAAGACCTTCAATTTTGGAGAGGTAAACAAAAAGGACGCTCAAATGTGGTTCACTAAAAAAAAAACACTCAAATTTGGGTGTGATTTCAGACCATCTCTCGTTAATATTCAATCATAAAGATTAATACCCTTTCGCAAAAAAAACATTGAAAAACTCATTGAAAAACTCATTGAAAATGAATGGAGTTTTCAGTTTTAGTATTTCATAGCAAGCTGAATGAGTTTTTGCCAATAGTAATATTTTATCATTGAGGATTTTATCACTGGCTAGTAATGTTTTCAATGGTACATTAATTTTATAATTTTATTGCTAAAATGAGTATTATTATTGATCAACATGTTATTCCAGAATATACATCATAAAATTATGATAAAAAAAAATTTTTCCCTGAACTCGGGAACTAATTTTATAGCTCTTCGAAGCAGTCATCCATCCGATTGCATACTGTTATCCGCTAGCCTTGATTTCTAAAATCGTATGGAAACCGCACTTTGATGATTCACGAACATCTACTACGAACATATAATCATGGATGTATAGCTATGATATATCTGTTCAATATAGTCCTGATAGACATTTGTCCAGTTTAACTGAACATCCAGTCAGCTACTGTCTAATATTTAATTTTAATGTTATAACGACTATTTTAAGAAATCATATGCTGTACTTTTGCAGTACCAGTTATCATGTATATCGTCTTTAACTAGAGATCTCCACAGTCTCTCTCTTCGATAATTGTACGCTGTATTGATACGGTATAGGTTATATACCATGATGTATCTAAACAGTATGCAGTACAGGTACAATGTTGATACATTGTACTATAATATCATGTACACTTTTTTGTACTGCTACTATATATGTATAGTTATGCCGTACACCGCCATCTCGTAGCAGTACAATAACAGTACGGTGGAATATCGCATGTTTTGTTATTTGGGATAATATTTTACTATTGAAAATTTTATGGTCTGTGATAAAATTTTTAGTAGTAAAATATTGCCATTGGTAAAAATTCCATTGAAAGTATCACTGAATTGTATAAATAAGTAGCTTTCAATGCGAATGATATTCCTATTGACAATAATCCAATAGCAAAATATTATACCACTGTTCGAATGATATTGATGTGTATCCAATAGTAACTAATATATCATTAATTGAATGATATTCCTATTGGACTATGTCCAATGATAAAATATTTTACCACTGATCGAATGATTTTCTTATTGAACGTTTCAAGTAAAATCATTCGATAATGATAACGCCATATAATTTTATCATTAATTCAAATGATTTTACTATTGATCTGAATGATAATACCATTGATAGTTTTCGCGTCGGGACTTAAGGGGATGCTGGGTGTCCTGTTTTACCATTAATTATTAAAGGCTCTTTTTTCTTAATTGTGTTTATGAGGATTGAAAAATCCTTCTCCACAGTTAAAGTATCGACAACAACGCAATTCGCCATCTACAATTGAATATGAAAAACGAAAGAAAATTGAAAACTTACAGTTTTGTTATCGACTCCTGTAGTCAACACATCACAATATGTGCTGCATATAAAAGTTTCAGCATGTTCATAAAAAGTAGCTGGTGAATTGCAGAAAACCTGAAAGAACAATCCTATGCTTAGAAACGAGGAAAGGCTTTAATATAAGAGAAAAGAGTCTCCGAAAATTTCATTTATATATTACGAGTGAAATTGATGTGAAGCCATCAAATCGAGCAATATTTTAGTTCCGCGATATTCTGACAGTGGCGCTGTCATAAAAAGTGCTGAATCATAGAAATGATCTGAATTATATATTGACCTATTCAGGCCCATATCAATAAACGTTCTTACGTCCTCTGGTCAAAATTTTTTCTTTTGAGAGGAAAAATAATAATAAAATAAATATGATATTAATTATTACAATTTTGTTCAAATAATTTCTTCATAAACAAGAAATGTACCATATTATTTACAAATGAAGATAATTATTTTAATTGCTGTTCTATCTTTTACATACATTTTATTTAGTAAATTATTGAGAATACATACACACGTGCGTGCGTGCGTGCGTGTGGTGTGTACAATGCATGTCTAAATTTTCCAAATAACTTTATTTACTGAATTATTTACATATACATATATATCAGGGCTCGGAACGCGATGTTTCGATTGAGTTTCGATTGCTGGGATGTCGGAATGACAATCTCATAGCAGACGTAGCACATAAATGAAATTTTCTAACATTGCTCTTATACTAAAGCTCATAACTCTCTGCTACTAACTAACTTTCTGCAAGCATAGTATTGTTCTTTGAG